TTATTTGGTGGAAATGTGATTGGTAGTTTTTTGGTGGAAATGTGATTGGTAGTCATTTGATGGAAATGTGATTGGTAGTCATTTGGTGGAAATGTGATTGGTAGTCATTTGGTGGAAATGTGATTGGTAGTCATTTGGTGGAAATGTGATTGATAGTCATTCAGTGGAAATGTGATTGGTAGTCATTTGGTGGAAATGTGATTGTAGTCATTTGGGGTAAAATGTGATTGGTAGTTATTTGGTGGGATGGGATTGGTAGTTTTTTGGTGGAAATGTGATTGGTAGTCATTTGGTAGAAATGTGATTGGTGGTCATTTGGTGGGAATGTGATTGGTAGTCATTTGGTAGAAATGTGATTGGTGGTCATTTGGTGGGAATGTGATTGGTAGTTATTTGGTGGAAATGTGATTGGTGGTCATTTGGTGGGAATGTGATTGGTAGTTATTTGGTGGAAATGTGATTGGTAGTCATTTAATGGAAATGTGATTGGTAGTCATTTGGTGGAAAGGTGATTGGTAGTCATTTGGTGGAAATGTGTTTGGTAGTCATTTGGTGGAAATGTGATTGTAGTCATTTGGTGGAAAAGTGATTGGTAGTCATTTGGTGGAAATGTGATTGGTAGTTATTTGGTGGAAATGTGATTGGTAGTTATTTGGTGGAAATGTGATTGGTAGTTATTTGGTGGAAATGTGATTGGTAGTTATTTGGTGGAAATGGGATCAGTTATTTCATGGAAATGTGATTGGTAGTCATTTGATGGAAATGTGAATGGTGGTCATTTGGTGGAAATGTGATTGGTAGTCATTTGGTGGAAATGTGATTGGTAGTTATTTGGTGGAAATGTGATTGGTAGTTATTTGGTGGAAATGGGATCAGTTATTTCATGGAAATGTGATTGGTAGTCATTTGATGGAAATGTGAATGGTGGTCATTTGGTGGAAATGTGATTGGTAGTTATTTGGTGGAAATGTGATTGGTAGTTATTTGGTGGAAATGTGATTGGTAGTTATTTGGTGGAAATGGGATCAGTTATTTCATGGAAATGTGATTGGTAGTCATTTGATGGAAATGTGATTGAGAGTTATTTCGTGGAAATGTGATTTGTAGTCATTTGATGGAAATGTGATTGGTAGTTATTTGGTAGAAATGTGATTGGTAGTCATTTGGTGGAAATGTGATTGGTAGTTATTTGGTGGAAATGTGATTGGTGGTCATTTGGTAGGAATGTGATTGGTAGTTATTTGGTGGAAATGTGAATGGTAGTCATTTGGTGGAAATGTGATTGGTAGTCATTTGGTGGAAATGTGATTGGTAGTTATTTGGTGGAAATGTGATTGGTAGTCATTTGGTGGAAATGTGATTGGTAGTCATTTGGTGGAAATGTGATTGGTTGTTATTTGGTGGAAATGTGATTGGTAGTTATTTGGTGGAAATGTGATTGGTAGTCATTTGATGGAAATGTGATTGGTAGTCATTTGATGGAAATGAGATTGGTAGTTATTTGGTAGAAATGTGATTGGTAGTTTTTTGGTGGAAATGTGATTGGTAGTTATTTGGTGGAAATGTGATTGGTAGTCATTCAGTGGAAATGTGATTGGTAGTTATTTGGTGGAAATGGGATCAGTTATTTCATGGAAATGTGATTGGTAGTCATTTGATGTAAATGTGATTGATATTTATTTCGTGGAAATGTGATTTGTAGTCATTTGATGGAAATGTGATTGGTAGTCATTCAGTGGAAATGTGATTGGTAGTCATTCAGTGGAAATGTGATTGGTAGTTATTTGGTGGAAATGGGTTTGGTAGTCATTTGGTGGAAATGTGATTGGTGGTCATTCAGTGGAAATGTGATTGGTAGTTATTTGGTGGAAATGGGATCAGTTATTTCATGGAAATGTGATTGGTAGTCATTTGATGTAAATGTGATTGATATTTATTTCGTGGAAATGTGATTTGTAGTCATTTGATGGAAATGTGATTGGTTGTTGTTTAGTGGAAATTTGATTGTGGTCATCTCATTAGTGAGAACTTCTTGGACTCTATGATCATATTTTCTGACTGTGTTTGTAGTTAATGTATGGTATTGTAATTTCAGGATGCTGCAACATGGGCATATAGCAACATGAGTCAGTACTATGTAGATATGTTGGATGCTTACAGCCGACTACAAACATCACAGGCACAGACTGCTTCTATGCAGGAAGTCTCCACTCAAATACTGGGGATGACCGTGCCTGGTGTGGATGGTATGGAAACACTAACGGAACAAATACTGCAAACTGATATCTCAGAACAAATAGTGGCTGACACATTGGCAAGTGCTGAAGCCACTCTGAATAATGCAAACTCTGCCCTCAATGTGTCACTGGAAGCAGAGTAAGTAGAATACATACAGTTTTATAATAATTTTTGAAAAAAGACATTAATCAAATATTTGTGAAATTTTTAGTGAATTGCATATGAGAGTTAATGAGTTCGGTGTGTCTATTTCTCTGTGTAAGCAAAATCTCAAAACTGTTTGGGCAGAAGTTGATGAAATTTGGTACCATGGGATAATATGCAGACTTTGTTTTTTAAGCAAATTCTGTGCATTGTAAGTAGCTAATTTGCATAATAATTACCTGATTTAAAGTAAAATCTTAAAAACTTCAGAATGAATTCAATCACACCTTATGGTATCATACATGATTAGTTTTGAGGCCATGCATGTTAAGTAACTGATTTGCATAACAAATTTTTTCAACTTTGAAATTTATACTGTGTTCTTCAGGAAGAACCAGAGTAACATTGTCGTTAGGAGAAGTGTTGTAAATGTTCTGAAACTACCGTAAAGAGACAAAATGTTGTAAAGTCATTGAAAAACTGCAAAATTTTGTAGCAGTGTGTAGTTCATTGTGAAACTTTTGTGAAACTTTGTTAATAAGAAAATATCGTAATCTGAATATTTATAACAGCAAAAATGAAATGGTATACAGTATTAAGTCACGTACAACTTATTTGGATGGAATTAGATTTTCCAACCCATGCATGAAACAATCGACCATGCTGCCATATGTCGGGCAACACAGCCACAAGAGTATCCTTGTTTATTGATGGTTTGTGTATTTTGACCTGCGAACTTTGAACTTTCGTAGATGGTATTTTTATGTGTGGGCAATTTATTATCATAATTGTGGCCTAAAATCAGTGCAATAATATTCATAATCACATACATTTTGGGCTATGTAGTGTGTACCTATAAATTGACGATTTGGCCAAAACTTGGTGAAAGCCTGACTGCTCAACCAAATGTTTTGATAACAACATTATCGCTAGTATCTAATACTGTATGCCCCATTGCAACACATATCTTTCTCTAAAATCATTCATAACATTTTAATATCTTCTAAGAGAACATGTACTTTCAAACATATAACTTTAAACTAATTTTGATGAAATTATTACAAAAAGATTTGCTTATGTTACATTGTAGCAATTTTATTGTTACGTAAAATGAATACTGACATATAATTTATTTCTGTTTCATAACTTCGTCTTTCTTTAAAAATCACAGTAGGTAAAATGGATTCCAGTGTTACCATGGTTACTGCAGACATTTCCTGATTGTGGTTGCCCTTTTGGTTGCTGTGCATCATGTTGATGTTTACCATTGCGTGTTTTTGTAGTTTTTTACTCACTATTGTGAGGTCTTATGAGTACTTGTATTTTTCTGTAGTATGGCATGCTATGTGCAATTACCATTTTGTGGAAAAATAATTGACGCCGCTTTTCCTCATTTATTTTCACTGAATTGATATTCATGACAAACCTTTATAAAACTTGACAAAAATTAATAAAAAAAATTATGCTAAGCATAAATTTGTAATCCTGACTTCGTATGTTGCACATCGCTTGTAGGTTTGTTAGTTTGATGCATGTGAGTAAAATGATGTAGTATTTCAGTCATCATGTTGTGCATTTCACATCGGTTGCTTTGTTCTAGAAATATAGTAAGCTCTTGCTTGACTTAGTGTTTGGTAGAAATGATCTGTCGTAGTGTAAGTTATAACGCTTTTCTATTAATTTGTTTTCCATAGGACTGAAGCTCAGGGTGCTCTAGCATTGGTACAGGGCATAGAAAACACTTTAAAAGAAGCGGAGAATGTACGAGCTGCTGCTGTAGAAAGCCTAGCACAAACTGACAGTAATATCACAAACGTCCATGATGTGTCAAATGAAGTAAGTTTCAATTGTTACTGACATGATTTTGCAAGCAGGTAGAGTTCTTGTTCAGATTATTCAAATTAACTCATTAATATGCATACTTTCACACATGTAGGTCATAGCCAAAGGGGCATTAGAAGAAACCAAAGGACAGGCAGCCTTGACAATGATTGCACAGATACGTCTAGACATTCTACATGCTGGACAGTGTTTTGATGAGGAATTATCACGAGCTAATACCGCTGAAGCAGGGGCCAATCAGGCTAAAGCAAATTCAGAGGAAGCAGTGGAGGTGAGAATTGAATTACAATCACTCCATGGGTCAAAGGTGACTCACTCTTTGGTTGTTTTTGTTGAGAATGGCAAAAATAGCCAAGATTTTGTTGAGTGTGATAGAGCAAAACAACTTGCTTTTTGCTTCTCAACTAGTGCTCAATTCTCTTCCCGTCAATCGTGTTCAGTGTACCACTGATGGATGTAATCATAGTATTTCCGGCATTATAGCATGATGGTGGAAAAGAATTTGAGTGGTAAAACAAGTCACATGGTTCTCTCACACTCTCAGTGAGATCTCAATGGTCATTTTCATCTTAAGCTTCATTGATGTGCATACTTGAGAAAAGTCTAGAGTGTAGAAAGTTTTGAAATTCATAAAACGTATTTTTTGGGGGATAGTCAAGAATTAATTTTGAAATTCATAATTTTAAACTTTATATTCACTTAACCTTAGTTAAATTGTTATACTGTTTTTCCACAGCGGTGGCGTAGGAACATTGATAATTACTACAAACCAAAAAAGGTTCACCATTTGTTTTTCATTCTCCACTTTGTATTATGTTTCTTTCTTTCGATCCAGAACCTCAGACTCTCAATACAAATAAAATATTTAAAAATCTTTAGAAGTAATAATTTTATAAATATCGTACTGAGAATATTTGTTTCATCTATTTTTTTATTTCTAAATGAAATGAGTCGTGCTTCAGGTAGCTGACATATTTTTTTACCTATTTTTTCATATTATAAATTGTAACAAATTGTTAATGCTCGTTCTGACTATTTTTCTTATTTTTAAAATCAAATTTTTTTCTTTTTTTGTTGTATAACTGAAATAAATTCTAAGGATGTGTGCTTATGAAAGATTGCGTTAGCTTAAAATCGCAGAGCAATTGTCTTGTATAACACTGTAAATCATTTAGTTTTTATCGATAATATTATCGCACTCAAGGAAACAAAATTCAGTGATTGTTGCCGTGACTACGTCACTCTTCTAAAGATTCAAATGAAACATTTACTGTTACAAAATGGTGTGGATTTCCTGATTTGTAAAAAGTCACTTTTGGCAATAAAGTAGTTTTAGTATTCTTGTTCAGTAGTGAATTTGATAAAACAAATTAATTTAAAACCAGAAAGTGAGGTATGTGGAGGGGGGAGTCATTTTTGAGCCCCTGAAACAATGATTGGTGATATCCTGGTCACATGATTCTCTACTCAGACAGCCATTTTGAATTAAAAATATACAAAATACATGTACCAGTACATACAATTAACATTCGAAAACTGTTTCAGGTACATTGAGTGTTTCCAATAGTCAATCATTGGCAATAACTTTACAACATTTAATGCTTATAATTCATGTACAACCGTAAATCGTCATGCAGCATGTGTCCCTTTAATAATGTGAATACAGACCATCATATCAAATTTGTTTTTAAAAACCTGCTTTTGAACCATTTTCTTTAGTACTTTGATCTTAATTAAACTCAGTAAATAAAATAATAACTAAATAAATAAAGCATGCTTATTCTCAAAAAAAAATCAATAGTGAATTCAGAATGTAAAATATTTTTCACTTTCAGTGATTTTTATAAACTACATTCAATCAACCTGTATCAAATATGTTAAGCTAAATATTTTTGTTCATTTTGTCAAGTCATACACAGTCAATGCTGCAGCACAGTCATCAATTAGTGGACAAGTAGACACTGTCTTAGTTGAGAAAGTCATTGAGTACAATGAAGTAAAGACTGTTAGTGATTCGGCGAAGTCACTGATGAATGACATCACAGCAACAGCAATGATGGAAGATCTTCAAGGTGAGTGGGTTTTATTTGCACTGTAGACAAAGGTAAATGTGCTTAGCTTCACAGTCTTTGGTTTTGGGTATCCTTAGCTTTACTGCATTGGGATTCGGGTATCCTTAGCTTCACATTCTTGGGTTTTGGGTATCCTTAGCTTTATTGCCTTGGGATTCTGGTATCCTTAGCTTCACAGTCTTGGGGTTTGGATGTCCTTAGCTTCACAGTTTTGGGTATCCTTAGCTTTACTGCATTGGGATTCTGGTATCCTTAGCTTCAGTCTTGGATTTTGGGTATCCTTAGCTTCACAGTTTTGGGTTTTGGGTATCCTTAGCATTTCTTCCCTGGGATATGGGTATATACTGACTTGGGATAAGGGTAACCTTAACAAAACTGTCTGGGATATCCTAAGCTGCACTGTCATGGGATATGTGTATTATTAGTTGCACTGTCGTGGAAAATGGGTATCCTTAGCTGCACTCTCATGGGATATGGGTATCCTTAGCTGTACCGTCTTGGGATATGGGTATCCTTAGCTGTACTGTCTTGGGATATGGGTATCCTTAGCTGTACTGTCTTGGGATATGGGTATCATTAGCTGTACTGTCTTGGGATATGGTTATCAATAGTTGTACTGTCTTGGGATATGGGTATCATTAGCTGTACTGTCTTGGGATATGGTTATCAATAGTTGTACTGTCTTGGGATATGGGTATCCTCAGCTGTACTGTCTTAGGGTATGGGTATCAATAGTTGTACTGTCTTGGGATATGGGTATACTGACTTGGGATAAAGGTAATCTTAACAAAACTGTCTTGGGATATGGGTATTCTAAGCTGCACTGTTGTGGGATATGGGTATTCTAAGCTGCACTGTTGTGGGATATGGGTATTCTAAGCTGCACTGTTGTGGGATATGGGTATCCCTAGCTTCACTATCTTGGAATAAAGGTATCATTAGCTTCACCCCCTTGGGATATAAGTATCCTTAACTTCACTGTCTTGGATACTGTGAGATTTGTAAATCACTTAAAAACATTACATGGAATTTCAAATATTTTAGCAATATTATTTTCATAACAAATCCCTATTTGTTCATTTCAGCTCTTCTTCAGCAATACATAACTCAGCGCACTGAAATGGACATGCTAATGGCACAAATGCAGCAAATGGAAGATGACTTAGATGGTCTTTTAACAAATATAGAGGGTTCTGAAGGTGCTAGTATTCAGTGTGATGAATAAGCAACCATGAGATTATGATTTATAACTGAATACCCCTTTTTGATTGCCTGCAAACAAAGTCTAGAAAATCTGATTCTTTTTTACTGTAAAAAAATGAAAATAAAAAAATCATGCAATCCAAATTGAAATCTTATATTTCAGCAATGTTATTAGAAGTTCGACAAATTTATTGGGATTTATTTCTACATTTTTTATATTTCTTTCACTGCAGTATTTGGTGATGGATCATACCTTGTAAGTAAAATTATAAATATTTTTTTTTAATGATACATATCACTTTTCCATTGTAACATATAGGGCATTTAGTTTTGAAGTGGGCATTATGTAAATCCTACAGGAATGTAATCCTGTAGATTCCCATAGACATATTTTTCAATAGTTGAACAAAATCTAAAGAAAAATGTTGTTACCTTTTACAAAATAAAACTGCATACTTTTTTCTCAAAAAATTGTCGTCAGGACCTACTGCCAATGTGTCAGTTATGTTCAATTTGGTTCAAAAAAATAACTGAAATTATAGAAAAATTCAAACTTTACATACAAATTTTGGCGGGGAAAAGGTATGGCATTTAAAGGGTTCGGTAGAATTTGATTGAAGTGTAACATTTATCAATATATGCGTAATTTCCTCAATTTATAAACGTGTCAAAGTCTTCCAAAATTCCAGATTCACCTTGAAAGTTACTGCATAATTTCTATGATCTACCAAAATTACTAGATTTTATGATATATCATAGGAAACAATCTTATGATATAACTCTCTAAAGCAGACAAAACATGCTATTTTCATTAATTCCATTTTGTATTTTCCTCAGTACATGAAATGTGTAGAAAAAGATGAAAATTACATTTTGAATATTGAGTAGCATTCTACCTTAATCTTGAATTTCATAACCATTCTTTATTTTAACTGTTTCTAATTTATGCATTCCAGAACTGCCATAGTTTTAATACAATGTATTTTATTTGCTTATTTTAATCACCTTGAAGTGAACTTCCAAACAGATTATTTAACGCTGCATTTTCCACATCATTGTATTCATTCAGAACTTGATATATCCATTGTTTTCATATCAGACAAGAGCTATAATTTGTTATCGTTGGAATATTCACTTATTAAGCAGTTATAGATTTTACAGTTTTTAAATCACAAACTTTTTTAACCTGCTGGTTACTTTTTCACAGTGCAATATTTTTGAATTTTTAAAAAAATGAAATTTTTTGAAAGGGTGAAATGAATCTTGTATGTTTCTCTATGCAAGTGGTTATTTATTTGCACATGCGCTTATTTATCAAATACTTTTAATAAAAAACATATTTTGTAAAACAATTTTGACTTTTTGCACTGATTCCTGAGTATAGTGATCAGAACATTTTACTATAATATGAATTGTGTTGGGTTCAAAATTAACAACCATTAACAACCATTGGTCTTCACATTGCATCATGTTTAGTGTGGGTCCCATGCGATTTATACAGTGTGTATCATATTCAAATATATTTTAAAAAATGTGAAAGATACAAATTTCATTGAATATTACTTACTGCTGATTACTTTGTATTTTTATGAAATTGTCTAAATCAGATGAAATCCAGTTTTTATTGAGCAACTAGTATTTGAAATGGCGCCCTCTAGTGACCAGCATAGCCGGAGCACCACAGGAAATCCCCAAATAGTAACCACTTTCCCGGAAGTAGATAAACTGGGGTGCAAAAATACTCCTTCTTTGTCTGGCAGAATATACAAACAAGTCAGTTTACTGATAGTCGATAGAAAAGAATTTTATTGTTACATCAATTGGTACACCCAGAAGCACAATATCACGCGTGCAAGTTTACGTTACACCCCAAAACGACATGCGCGCGCATGCGAAAAACCGTATCTTCGACTTCCGGGAAAGTCGTCGATAGTAATCAGTTGGCTTCTTTTCCTTCAGGGTTATGTGAACCAAACAACTGTGTGACACAGGGCTGTTGTAAGTAATCAGCAGCAACTAATAAACTGTATTATATTATAGCATTATCAATACCAGTGGATTTTATGACGTCATTGCAGCAGATTATTCGCGATAATGTATTACATTATTGAGCATCAAGGCCCTGTCCCATGGATATGAATACAATGTTGTTTTCAAAAACAAATAAACAAGAAACTATTAAAAAAGAAGAGAAATTGTTAGATAACAAGTATTTAATACCAAAATCGGCATCAAATAAAACGGTCCATAACCAATAACAGCAGATTTCAATATCAAAATCAGACAATATTTTGAGGGCATCGTCGTCTGCTCTGTACGCTAACGCGCGTTCGGTCGAAGCGTTCCATCTAGTACGCGCTCTTCTAGATTCCGCGACTAATGCCGCTGTCCCGGTGGCCTCCTGATTAGTTCGCCCTATCGTGTTAATGAAGTGAGGTTAACTGAGGATAATTGATCCAAGCAAATGCGATAAACGAAATGGGGTACAATGTATGTCTACGAGTACAGAGAGATGAATTTGTTCAGTTTTTGTAATGAGTAGTACAGTTTTGTGAAACGAGATCGACGATGACCGACGTGACTTGTATTTCCTCGGCGTTGACTCCCGGTAAATGTAACAGTCCGGGCACAGTTTGCATAAATAAATGAAAGTGTCCGTGTTCTCAGGTGTGTATCTGTTTATTTATACAGTGAGATTAAAATCACTGTTGGTTCTCCTTCTAGGATGGCTAACACCC